TTCTTTTTTTTTTTTTTTTTTATAACGATGTAGTTATTCTTACAATAAGTTACATGATTTTTCACTTCATATATTTTGCGCGTGTTACTATACACATACACTTCGTTAACATTTATTTATGTAATTTTAAACTTTCAACACGTCATTTTAATTATTATTATCTTTTTTTTTTGTTCACGTAAATACTATACACATTAATATTAAATGAATTACGATATCATTTGCACAATCATGTGCTAGTTATTTAATAGTAATTTATATACGACCATCTGCCACTGAACATCATTTACAATATTTTACTTTGTTCTATTTTAGACACATATTACTATTTATTATAACGCACACGACTGTCTGAGCTATGTATTTTCCAATGTCTAAAAAGCATCATTAGAAACAAAAATTAAAAAAAGTAAAAAAAAAAAAAGATCATATGTATAAAAGTTAAAAACTAAAATCATTTACGTACATAGTACGAAGTTTGTTATGTATTTTTCAATTGACCAAAAAAAAAAAATTTTAAGTTGTCATATAAAATGAAATTAGAACATCGAAGATTGATATCTAGAAAAATGTGACACAGCTCTGACATGTCCCTTTTTTGTTTTTTTTTTTTTTTTTTTTTTTTTTAACGATTTTACTTGTCTCGTTCCACTGATCCTCTTGGTCCTCTAGCCTTCCACACTGACGTGACATTTTTTTTCAAGAAAAGGAAAGGATTCGAAGGAACGTGTTTTTTCGCTCTCTTTCCGTTTTTTAGTACTTTCATAGAAAACCAGATTTTCTGCGGGCTGAATACTAAGTGCGATTGTTTGCGATCACAGTTTAAAATCGCAGAAATACTTTAAAAAATTTCACCAATGTATTCCGATGCTTATCCAGTAGCCACAAAAATTTTATCTGAAAAGCACATGACCTTTACTACACTACGATTTGAACAAAATCGTATTGCAGAGAAAGAAGACAAGGAAAGCATATGCGAATTCGAAGTTTTTCTTTCCGAAGCTAATTTTGTTGCAAAAGAGAAAATCTACGATATATGGTTAATTAATTAATACCATTTGGTCGGATCATTTCTGTTGAGCAAAACCTTGAGAAATCGAAGAAAAAATGGCAATTACCCGTTTGATTTTATCATCATTATTAAGAGATTACAATATCACCTACATATCGTTAATCTCTCAGTGCCTCCGTTTTCATTTAAGCACGATCTCGGTTGCTTATAGGTTTTGGCATCGCAGGCATCATAGGTCGCCGTGTGTTAGGAAGATTACACGTCAACGGTTTAGGGCTATGAGAAACAATAAAGTCAGAAAAGAAAGATCGTTGTTTTGCTTGCAGAATGCAGGAATTGTTTGGACATGATTGAAATTAAGAAAATATTTGGATGATTTTTTTAGTGGATTTTTACTTGGAAGGTCGTGAATACGGGGCGTTGCGGTAGCGCGAGCTTGAGCCCGATGTCGTTGTCGTCTTGTACGATTTCCATGCGCGGCTCGATGATTCCTCTGCGAATTTCATGGAGTGATTCATTTGCATTATTTTTATTAAATTAGTCCACCACGACGATGTATATGAAATATAAGATATTAATCGGATAGTTTCCTAACTAAACACTACGCGAAGCAGGAGCATTAATGTTATTTAAAATGGTTCAAAAACAAAAAAACAAAAAAAAAAAAAAAAACAAAAAAAAAAAAAAAAAAAAAAAAAAAAAA